TTTCATTCTTCAGAAGTGGCATGTCCAACAAGAGGACGCAAGGGAATCAAGTTATATGATCTTACAACTGGAAAGACGTTGGCCATTATGGAGTCAAACAATACAAAGAGATTTGATGGAATAAAGGTAGGCTGAAGCTGGCCGTCTTTAAACGTATGACTTAATGACCAACATGTTCTGTGATATTACAGCTGCATGGTGATCTGTAACGTAATCTCTGCATTTTCAATGAAAGACATTTCAAAATAACCATTCTATTGAATAAGAGTTATGTACGTTGTAATACGTATACCAGATCAGACAAGGACATAGAGAATCGGTGAGATGTCCTTCCAACACGTATTGCTTTACAATGAATAGCAGTATCCTAGTGTTGGATGAAGTGATCCTAATGTCAAATGTGTACCAATTTGACAAAGATGGGACTCATTTTGTCATTAGTGCATAACATTCTACGAAACTAACCATTTTCGACCATTAACCAGTAGAATGCATTGATATTGAATCTCCATCAAGAAGCGGTGATAACACGTGCTTGGGAAAAGATGAGGTTATACTGCCGTACCAGTGGCACCATCACAAACACGTTCAAAGGCAAGTCAATTGTTAAAAGAACTCGACAACACATAGTACAAATCAAAATAAGGAATTTCATTGGACACCTGTTTTCTTCGCATCTTCTAAATCTACCTGTATGAATATACCTGCAGGCTGGTGAGAAAGGCACTGTCCTGTTGGCGGCTACAGAGGATGATGGCCCTTGCTACGTGTTCAACGTTCTCAAACGGACATGTTTGTATGAGATCAGTCCACAGCAAATGAACATCGATTTCATCAACATTAAGAATACTGCAGTCACCGATGACGACGCCTATTTGGTATGGAAGTCGAAGACACATCCCCAACAGGAACCTGAAGGTCGGAAATACTGCATAGCCCTGTGCTGGGACTTACATAACAGTAAGTATCAATTCAGATTTGAATATATAGAAAGGCAGATTTGAAACAGTGATACAAGAGGAACATATGTTCATTTTATGATGCCTGGTACCAAAACTTGACAACACCTAAGGTGCTGAGCTCACCTTAAACAGATGAAATCGTAATACAAAACCGACTCTTTTAAATAACCAAGAACTGATCACTGTATAACCTTTGAGTGGGTTGTATCCAGCTCCAGCTGACTGTACGAGGAAGGAAGATATATGTTTTCTTCCCGTGGTGGACTTTATCAGTACAAAGTTATGCCATTTGGGTTAAGAAATGCATTTCAAGTACTTGTAAAAGTAACATAATCAGCAATCCAGAAGATTGGGTCGATTATCTGAAGAGGTTCCGATCCTTTCTTAACAGATCTTTCAGAGGCTATCACATATTATGGGTCAGTTATTTGAAGAGTTTCCGATCCTTTCTTGACAGACATTTCAGAGGCTATTACATATTTTGGGTCGACTATTTGAAGACCTTCTAATCCTTTCTTGACATAAATTTAAATTTACGTTTCTCACACATGATGGGTCGATTATTTAAAGAGATTCCGATCATTTCTTGACAGATGTTTCAGAGGCTATCAAATAATATCACAGTTCATCTTGCAAAAAAGAGAATTTGTCCAGTCGCATGTTGTGTTCTCCCGTCATGTAGTCGGTCAAGGTCACAGCATGTAGTCGGCCAAGGTCACAGCATATATTCGGTCTTGGTAAGGTACAACTCGTCAGAGCAGCGTGAAGACTTCTTGTTAAATTTGTGTGTACACGTTTCTGAGTTATACTCTTGACAAAAGTAAGGGAACTTTTTTAATTTGCATATCGGAGTCAGTCAATGTTCCTTATGACAATAGTTGTTTGTACAGTAATCGCTCTTGAAAGATGATTGGTGTATGACGTGAAATTTGCATGTATACAATTTCCATTTTCAACCAAACAAAAAACAGACTAGAAACAAATACTAACAACTGTGTGATACAAGTTGTTTGTGAACATTAATGGTCTACAGTGATCTATCGACACCCCATGCACGTGTATGGGGATACTGCGTTGTGCACGTGCATCTCATGGTTTTGCATTCATAAGATGTCTGTCTTTGAAAAGTGTCTTTTCCTATCCAAATTGAAAGTTCATGTTCCCCTACTTTTAAAGCGCATATTTTGCCCTTTAGGAAACATGAAATCTGTTCCTGATGACAGCCAACGATGGGTATTATTTCTTACTGACGTTAAATATGTATGCAAATATTTTCGTGGACTTTTTTTCAGACAACCTCCACAAGGAATTCTTTGATTATGAATACTACCATGAATATGAAAATGATGATGGCAACGAGGATCTCGAGTCATATAATTTCACACTGCTAGACAACAGGACCCTGGTCTGTAACCATACCGATGCGTTCATTAGAGTGTACGATCTGAATACAGGTAGGTCAGCCTGGAGTACACATCCATCTGAACACGGTAACACAATATCATACACATGATGATACACTTATTCACAAGGATGTTTCTGTCAACAGAGGTGTTCAGGATATATCCTAATAGAAGTTTGTGTACTTACAATGGGGTTGGATATTAGCCTTAGGTTAATCTGATACAGTGGTAATACTTTCTTTTGCAAATTATATCTAATCCATTGTGTACATGTGTAAATATGCGTTATGGATACAATATTGGAGACCAACCCAAAGTAATATACTCATAGCAATAATGGTTGCCCCCCCCCCCCTCCATCCAGCAAAAAGTCAGAAATTGTCCAAAAGATGGTACAAACTGTTCCAAAGTGTTTCACATGCGTGCAAGCTCGAACATTCACTCAATTACAACTTGTCAACCCATTGGCATGTAAAGCACGTGCTTTTTATATAACGCTACCTGTGCGTGCTTCAATACACACCAACTGCACTGAAAATGAAATATGCTTTTGTCAGATCATAAATCCTCTGCCTGTGTCTCTTGGTGTTGAAACTTTATGACCCTGTAATGCCGAAGCCAACGTCCACTGACATACGGAACCAAATCATTGGAATGAGTCGAGCAGGTGCTACAAATCGCATGATCAGTCTGCAACTTAACGTTACCAAAAGAACTGTTCAGAGAATTAAAAAAACTCTATCGAACACAACAGTCAGTAACTGCAAATAAATCTACAGGTCGCCGTCGGTAAACCTCGCAACGTGATAACCGTGTACTCTTCCGTTTGGTACATCGCAACCGCCTTTTGTCTTCAACGTCACTGAGGGACAGATGGGGTCACCTTATTAACGTCCTACTTAGCCGTCAAACCGTGAACAACAGACTGCTTGAAAGAGGCTACAGAGCTAGAAGACCTCTGCGTCGACCATTCCTGACTCCAGAACACGAGCGGTTACGTGTTCTATGGGCCAGGCAGCACAGAAATATCAGACTGCAACATTGGCGTCACGTCATCTTTACGGACGAATCACGTTTCTTGCTAAACAGGATCGATGGGCGGGTGCGAGTACGTCGACTAAAAAGAGTAAGGTTCAGGGATGACTGTGTTGAGGACTTCACCCAGAGTGGAGGTGGATCTGTTCTTGTGTTGGGAGGCAATTACTATGATGGTAAAACTGAGTTTTTGGTTCTACAGGAGAACGTCAATCAGCGGACCTACCGACATGTCCTTGAACACAACCTTTTGCTACCTTTTGTTACAAGACGATAATGCTCGTCCTCATCGTGCTCGAGCAGTTGATGATTTCCTGGCGAGGGAAGGTGTGAACAGGCTACCCTGGCCTGCCAAAAGCCCAGACATGAATCCCATCGAGCACATGTGGGACCACATGGACCGTCAAATAAGGAAACTGGATCCTCCTCCATCAAATATAGACGATTTGGAGACATCACTGGTGAGAATCTTTAACGATGTGGCCACACAAGGTGTCAATAAACTTATTAACATTATGCCAACCCGGATTATCGCCCTTATTGACGCGCAAGGGTGAGCAACACGTTACTGACATTGCACAAATGTTTTTGAATGATCAGACTCTCTTTCTATCATTATCCTGACAGTACACGTTTCATTTTGTGAAACCCACATTACCCAAAACTGTTGATTTTACGTCTTCGCAATGTGCAACTTTACACGAATTCTTTATTTAAAGTGAATGATTTCCTAGAAGAGGCACACGATTGGCCTGTGTTGCATGGCCGTGTATTTAAGATGATGAGAAGTTTATGCGAGTATTAAATCTTTGCTTTTCTATCATCTCTTCTGGTTCTCTTTGTACATTTTCCAGTCCTATTAATAAAATCGAAGGGGTGACAACCATTATTGGCATGAGTATATGTACAGAAATCTAACGGAGAGAGAAAGAGAGTGAGAGAGAGAGAGAGAGATTTACGGATGAATGGGTGGATAGATGGATGGATGGTGTACGTGAAAGACTGTCATCCTTGTACATCTACCTTGTTTCCGTTTTTTCAACTTCCCAGGAGAGATGAAAAAGAGAATTGAAGGATACCCCCGTGCTAAGCTTTCAGTTGTCAAGGCTGGGCCTTACTTGGTGTCACATGGCACCTACAGTGAACACAATGTGATCAAGATGATTGACAGGACAACATTTGAGACCATAGCCACCTTTTCAACGGATTATGACGTTAGTTTATGTACATATACAGTGTTCATAAACTTCAATCAGCCAGTAGAAGAGTACATAAAACATCTCAAGTGTTATACTTTTCTTATTCAGTATCTACCAAATGTCCAGGTATTGAAGAAACCTAATAAACATTAGTATAATAAAAAATCCTTTTGAACAAACTTCTATCGTTTCCTGTAAGCTTTTCACTTTACTGGTTAAATTAAGCCACCCTTCGGGGTTCTTCCATTACCTCTGGGCCCAATGATATATTTAAGGAAATAATTTATAGTATAAATGTGACCTTTTGTCATTCCTTACAGACACAAGATTTATCGCTCACCGAAGATGGCCATCATGTGGTATGTTACTTCCGGGAGTTCAGGAAGCCAGTGGTGTGGAGCCTGGCAGGAGGATCTGCAGATGACCCAAACAGGGAAGCATTCAAGCCTTTGTCCAGTTTCCCTGACATCTATGGACCTGACAGTAAGTGTGTAGTTCAATGTCATATTTAATCAACCATTTGTCGTAAACTATCAACATTCACAGTGAACATATCACTCAGATTGACGCTGGTGAGTGAAGATGGTTTTGCTGCATTTTTAGCAACATTCCTGTAATATGTGTTGGTGTGGTATTGTACATAGAGCTCAGGTCACAACTAAATTGAAGCTAAGCAACGTTGGTCACGAAGATTCCTTGGATGGGTGACCGTGTTTGGCATCTAGACTCCTGACTGTTTCTAGGACTTCTTCCTGCCCCAAAGGGAAGCACATGTGATACATGTGGTCTCACTATAGGCAAGTGAGTGTCTGCACAATTGCCTAACCCAGCAGAACATGGGTACCCAGTGGGATAAGTTATGTGACTAATAACCTTCTAGTGTAGCTTGGGTTATGCGGGTCAGTAACCCTATTTGCTCTTCGAGCATGCCCTGGCGCGGGGGTCAGAGCTATATAAGTGGCCTTATCAAGGCAAGAGCAACAAAAACAAACACGAGAATACCTTAGTACTTAACTCCGACTTCAAAAAGTTGGATTGTACTATATTATACTTGTCTAAACCAGAAACTATATGCCAGAATCTGAGAGTATATGAGACTGTGTGCGTGCGTGCGTGACTGCGTGCGTGTGGGTGTTTTCAAAATGCGTTCAAAGTGTCATTTATAACTATATGATTACATATATGCAGCGGTTCAACTAAAACTACAACTGGCAATGGACACGGAAGAAGCTGATGATCCGGATGACCTTGATAAAGACATCGATGAGGTGGACAATGACACCAGTCGGTGGAGACTTCATAACTGGTTCTCATTACATGAATAGAGGACTGATCGGGTTTAATGAAACAGTTGTTTTAATGTCTGACCTAAGTGGATGTGGAAACCCTCTGTTGAACCTGTCGTATATAGACAAGGTGGAAGTAACTGGCCACGGACATCAGATATAAGTGATATCTTTCAGTTATTTGGATTTGTGGTCCGTCTGTTCTGTGTTTCATTTTATTAAGTTTATTAATAGTTTAGCTGTTAGAGTTGGTACTTTTATGTACTTAAACAAGTAATAACTTAATGTAAACCTGCATTTGACCATGTAATAGGCCTCGGTATTGTATATATATATATAGAGTGTCCATGACTTAATAGTTTGTATACTTCTGCCTGAGACCATAAACAATATTTTCCTATATGACTGACATTTAATATTTGAAATTGTTTGTTTTCAATTCCATATTCATCATATTGCTCAACAAAGAAGACTGTGATACATGTTACGTAGCTTTAACAATGAATAAAATCTTTTAATATAGCCCTGTTACATATCAATAACTTTGAAGACGTGAAACTGCCGATATATCCATAGCAAGATGCAAAAGGACCCCACCGAACACCCTTGATCAAGCTCACGTTGGTACTGAAATGATCGAGTGTTGTTATACACCGAAGTCATCAATAGTCCAGTTATATCACAGGTTCACTGAACAATTGTGTCTGGACCAGTAGCCATAGACAGCATTCCATGTGTTTTGGTTTGGCAAGGATAATGACCTAAACCGGGTGTTTATCCTTACGTTTTTCTTGAACACCAGGTTTCAGCACTAAGCCAGAGATTTCCACTACCAATGAACCTGTTTCTGTGTTTATTAAAAGCTGGTTCGTTTCTGGCTTTGACCTTTTGTCTTTACCTTGCATGGGAACTGGTGAAGATCCGGGTTAAAATTGATTTTAAGTAACCCATGCTTGTCGTAAGAGGCGACTAACGGGATCGGGTGGTCAGGCTCGCTGACATGACACATGTCATCGTATCCCAATTGGGTAGATCGATACTATTCTGTTGATGACTGGATTGTCTGGTCCAGACTCGATTATTTACATGATGAATGAAGAATAGGCGTTCTGGGCCAGGATCCAAGGAGCCATGACGTCACTGTGACCTTTGACCTATAATTTTTGCTTTGATTGGATATAGGGTATGATGTCACTGTGACCTTGACCTTTGTTCTTATCGGAGTATGAAAATGTCATCATCATAGCCAATTAGCTTAATATCATTTAATGAGATTCATTAGTACATAATATTATCTCCTTTAAATAGAAGCCTGAATGGTGATTGACTAAATGTAATTAATACTACATATCTGAACAAGGGGATCCTGGTTTTTAGACAGGATGACATCCTACAATGACGCTAAGTAGCCCACACGAAAAAAATATTTTTATAAAAAAGGTCTGGATGGTAATTGACTAATTAGATTTGTCCTATAAGGATATTATGGGCCCATATGAACAATGTTTTCAATAGAAGGCTGAATGCACAGCAAAAATAACTTAGTTTCCGTTTTTGCGGAAACCTAACGGATACTGGGTAATGTAGGTTTCCGCTAGGTTTCAGTATCCGGAAACAGACAATGCGAGTTTCCGCATAGTTTACAAAACTGAAACTAACAAATTTAGGTTTCCGTCAAGTTTCTACAACTGAAACTATCATTATGCGTTTCCATTTAGTTTCAGTTCGCTGAAACATTCAAAGAGAAATGACTTTGTTTCCGCTATTGCGGAAACCTATTGGATACTGGGTAATGTAGGTTTCCGCTAGGTTTCTGTTGGTTTCAGCTTAGATGAAATGGCAAACTTATAATTAGCTTTGTGCTGTTCCATTGGGGGACTATATTTACTTATTGTTACATTTGCAAGATAATTTCTGTTTACAGAATCCAGTTAGGGTCAATGCAGGAAGCAAAAGTACTGTTCGTGCCGTAGTCCCTAGTATGTTGATCAACCTTCAGGTGTTGGCAATCTATAGCTCATTTTTATACTGTACCGGTAAAGTGTTTATGGTTACATGCCAGTTTTTAGTGTACATTTGTGATAGATTAGTTATTTTACTGTCCTTCGAAGACAGGTAAGTATATAAGTTTTTTTTTCATGTACACATTTACAAATTTAGAGTTACGACTTTCATAGTCACGATATGGCTACCGATGTGACTATGCAACTCACTCACTACCATTCTGCATAACTTGTGAATGTACAATTTATTACATTGTACCCGAAAAACAACAAACACAGTGACACATGCACTGTTATGATTCATCTGTTTCATTATTGTGAATAGCTCACATTTCAACAGTACTCAACAATGTGTGTGTGTGTCTGTGTGTGTGTGTGTGTGTGTCTGTGTGTGTGTCTGTCTGTCTGTCTGTCTGTCTGTCTGTCTGTCTGTCTGTCTGTCTGTCTGTCTGTCTGTCTGTCTGTCTGTCTGTCTGTCTGTCTGTCTGTCTGTCTGTCTGTCTGTCTGTCTGTCTGTCTGTCTGTCTGTCTGTCTGTCTGTCTGTCTGTCTGTCTGTCTGTCTGTCTGTATGTATGTATGCATGCATGCCCATATCAAAAGGGAATTTTCAGCATTGGAGAAAACAAATTCTGTATGAATATGCAAATACAAATATGTCAAAACCCTACAACATTTTATGCATATGATGAAATGAGGTCTACTAGTGCAGGCATAACATATTTGTTGTGGTATTTATAAAACAGATTTCAAATTCAAATTCAAATGTTTATTGTATGAAAGGTCATGGGCCCATATACATATACATGAAGTGTACATTTGAAGCTGTCTCAATGTATCTTAACATATACACACTAACAATCTCACATATTAAACACTTGGCAACTTGCTTACAACCATGAAGCTTCTGTTGCACTCACACTGAGCAGCCAACAATCCTCTGATGTGGTACATATGACGCAGAGCCTTGAGTTGAGCCTGAGTTTTGCCACACAGAAAGGGGAAATATAACCAAGTTGATTACAACAAGGCTTGAACCAGTCCACAACCGCAAACAGATGGTGTATGCTCTACTTAAGATTCGTGGGTGAATATGAAGAGTCCTGGTTGATGTCTGGCACAACATCGTTGCCATCCTTATCATCCCACACAGACTCTTCATCATCCTGCAAATACAATACATACAATGCTTAGTAAAACTGCAAAAACAGCCAAAGTAACACATTTATACATATTCATAAACATGCACAGTGGTACATCTGATCACAATGAAATTATATAATTAGAACGACTAATTTGTATATGTAACCAAAATATTTTTTTCACAATCACAAAGGAAAGATATGTAGTATACATGTATATTGTATCTTCCATTTGACATGTCACTTATTTTATTGATTGGTACCAGAAAATAGCAGCCAACCCAGTATTCTGAAGCAAATTGTTGTAATATTTATTACTGTTACTGTACTCATATTCAAGGTAACATCTACTACCAAATCGCCAATTGAAATCGAAGCATATGTAAAACGGTACATACATATTTTAAATAGATACGAATTATGTTTAAACACTGAATGTAACACATAATTATATATGTGATCTTATTCAAATTGAAATGACCAACTCAACTGAGAAAAGCATACAAAACCTAACATTTCCCATGAATGAAAAATCGTGGGTATTTCTTAGTTTTATCAACTCTCTAAGGAAACATTCCCAGCAATATAGTAACATAAAATATTATTTTTTATGTGACCTTTAATTTAATTTAAAACTGTAAAATGTGTAACACAACTTATTCACTTTCAGTTACAGTTACATATCTGGTATACAATAATTACACTCTTGCTCGACAACGGTATAAGAATCCATACCGAAACGTCGCATCATATATAATAAAGAAGTTGTTATCCATAAACTCTCTTACTTTCTTATTTGTCACCAACTTCTAAATGCCAATCAAACAAATTACAATAATTAAATATATTCATTATTGATATATGATGGATAGCAATGGGATAGATCAAACTGAAGTCGTTAAATGAAACCTATGAAGTGAAGTATTTTGACTAACCTGATGAGAAACTGCCGTCCATTCCAGACGATTCCTTGTTTCCTTGAAACAAACGACTGGCAGTGCGGACAGAAAACTGGGTCTTTTTCTTGGAACTGAAAACATATCAACATATCTTAACTTATGAAAGTGTAATCCCATATATAACATATGTTAAACTTATGGTTACACTGGAATCCACGCACTGTTACATTTTGAGTGATTATATTTTCACAAAGATAAAGAAATTTATTCTATGTATCTATTTAGTGTTTACTTGTTTTGACTAAATGCTGATGAATAAAAATATTGTTTTAAGATTTCCTTTAATGAAATTAGGAACATGGTATGGTGTAACTATAAATGATTACCAAGCCAAGCCTCTTGTCAATCTCCAACAAGTCAGTGGATCCACAATACGTATCTGTAAATCAAATAATTGAAACAATGATTCTTTTAGAAATGTTATACGTGACTTGTGTCAATGCATTGTAAGGCTAAGAGGTTCAATAATTGATTACCTAAATTATTACACAAAGCTATGAGTGTAAAGTATATGTTATAATTGTTTTAATGGTAATAAAATGATAAAAAAGATGTACTGGTATAATTGGATAAATACCGCCATATAGCTGGAATATTGCCGAGTGCGGCGTAATACTAAACTCGCTCACGTAGATATATTGACCTGACATCACATATAATTAGATAAGTAAAGTTATAATACAGGGAATGTACGTAGATCTACGTGTAGAACTGAAAAGAATGAACAAGATATAAGCATGTCTAATACATGTGCATGTTTTGAGCTCAATAGGTAAATTACTTACCTGGTGAAGTTTTACGTCCAGCAGAACGTATATTGCCTACTCCTGACAGGGTTTTGAAAAATCACCTATTTGAAACTAACACAATCTCTCATGAGTAGGACTCATGGAGCTCGATGAGGACTTTTAAAGTAACGTGAATATGTTTTCAGATTTATTCACTTCTCTAGGCCTACATGTTGATGCTTGACACTGAGGAGGAGCAATTAGTGCCCATAATGCGATGAGAAGACCCTTAAGCCCATACAAGCCCACTGTTGGGTACTCACATTCAATCTGCTCATTTCCACCTTTCACGGTCCCCTTTGATGTCGGCAATGTAAACAAATAAAACAATGGCGACCGGATCACGTCCACGCGAGACTACCTAAATCATTATAAAAACACACAGCTGACATTTTATGTGTATAGTGTATGTTTATTTTGTTGTATAACGCGGAAAGATATTGTCAAACTGTAATGTTAGATTTAGATTGAAAAACAACAACAAAGTGTTTTTCCCGTGAGCCTTTGCGAGTCGCGATTTTCAAAGCCGCCTCAGTTTTCCTCAAAGCACTGAAAGAGAGAATTCGCTACCTGGAAAAGAAAGATGGAAATGGCTGCGAAAAACTCGCAGTACCACGACCCTGTCAGGTAAGACCAATTTGTTTTGTTGTCAAATAACGTTTTATGAATTATTTACTTTACGTACAGATAATCCGGATTGGTAATCAAGCTAATCTATCGAATTACAGCCAGTGGCCATGTTACGACGTAAATTGTAATAAAAACGCAAATTGTAATACTTGCAGCAAATTGTAATAAACTTGACGCAAATTGTAATAAAAACGTAAATTGTAATAAAAATTGACGTAAATTGTAATACGCAAATTGTAATAAAAATTGACGTAAATTGTAATAATTTTCGTTGCGGTAAAATGTAATAAATATTTACGTAAATTGTAATAACAGTTTTAATCACTCGTAAATACGCGGGTGTTTGTTTTTCG